AGTTCTGGTTTCCTCCCACAGTCCAAAGATGTGCAGGTTAGGTGAATCAGCCATGCTAAATTGCCCATAGTATCCAGGGATGTGCAGGCGAGGTGGGATAGCCATGGGAGAAACTATGGGATGCTCTTCAGAGGGCCGGTGCAGACTAGATGGGCTAAATGGCCTGTTCCTGCACTGTATGGATTCTATGATTCTGACGCAGTGAGAATTAAGGGGGCTGAAGAAATAGCACTCAAAAATAGCTTACAAAAAGCTTACTTCCTAAGTGTGGGATAGATTTTTGATCTATTTCAATAAACTTCCATTAATTTATGAAGCTATTCCACTAGTTTGCCAACTTTGACTAGTTTTTAAAGCCTGTCCATTTAATCTTCACTTTGAAGCTGGAATCTCTCAAATCAGTATAGCTGCCATTTATGCTGTATTTTGTTCAAGCTCTGGTGAGGACCAAGATGATCAGCAAGATTCACAACAATGTCAGCACCAAAACATGACAAATGAAGCAGCAGCATGTTGCATACAGATATAATACAGAAATCAGGTTACATTTTGGATGTGTCACTGTACTCACTTTTCCTGCCCTGATTAGGTCATTAAACCATCTTAGTCACTGAATCCAGGAGTGCATGACTACATTCTCACTGTTTACTTCCCAAGTAACATCCAGCCATACCTTTCTCTTTTTGCCAGCATGCACATTCCTTTCATCATTTCTTCAGAGAACAGTAACTCCATTTGGGCACTTACAGGCATCAATATCATATGTAGTGAAGCATCACTGCAGTGAGACACAGATTTTGAAACACTGGAACCAAAACTATTAATATAAGGTAGACACTAATAAATTCAACAAAGAATTCAGGTGAAGCTTCTTTATCCAGAGAATATCCAAGGATCATCCCCTGGACTCAGTTTGTTATGGTCTGCTATCTTTAAGGATAAAATCTCTAATTTTTTACTATAGTCCTTTACTATAGTCATCGAGAGGGACAGGAGCAGACAATATGGGAAAGTATTTAATTGGGGGAGGGGGAATTATCATGCTATTAGGCAAGAACTGCAGAGCATAAATTGGGAACAGATGTTCTCAGGGAAATGCACGACAGAAATGTGGAGGTTGTTTAGGGAGCACTTGCTACGAGTTCTGGATAGGTTTGTCCCACTGAGGCAAGGAAGGGATGGTAAGATGAAGAAACATTGGATGACAAGACATGTGGAACATCTAGTCAAGAAGAAGAAGGAAGCTTACTTAAGGTTGAGGAAGCAAGGATCAGATAGGGCTCTAGAGGACTACAAGGTAGCCAGGAAGGAAGTGAAGAATGGACTTAGAAGAGCTAGAAGGGGGTTTGAAAACGCCTTCATGGGTAGGATTAAGGAAAACCCCAAGGCGCCTTGGGGTTTTCCTTAATCCTACCCACGAAGGCTTTTTCATTTCTAGCACATCCTCCTTCCTAACATCAACCTATTTCAGCAAAGTATTGAAGCAAAGTATTCATTAAGGATCTTCCCAACCTCCCCTGACTCCTTCTTGAGGAACAAGAGGATGGCCAGAGTTGGGGTAGGGCCAATCAGGGATAGTGGAGGGAATTTGTGTGTGGAGTCAGAGGAGGTTGGGGAGGTCCTTAATGAATACTTTGCTTCAGTATTCACCAGTGAGAGGGACCTTGACGTTTGTGAGGACAGCGTGAAACAGGCTGATATGCTGGAAAAGGTTGATATTAAGAAGGAGGACGTGCTAGAAATTTTAAAAAACATGAGGATAGATAAGTCCCCTGGGCCAGACAGGATATACCCAAGGTTACTATGGAAAGCGAGGGAAGAGATTACTGCGCCTTTGGTGATGATCTTTGTGTCCTCACTGTCCACTGGAGTAGTACCAATGATTGGAGGGTGGCAAATGTTCAAGAAAAGGAATAGGGATAATCCTGGGAATTACACACCAGTCAGTCTTACTTCTGTGGTGGGCAAATTATTGGAGAGGATTCTGAGAGATAGTATTTATGATTATTTGGAAAATCATAGTTTGATTAAAAATTACTCGGATGAGGAAGTGGAAGGGTAGATTCGTAAGTTTGCTGATGACACAAAGGTTGGTGGAGTTGTGCATAGTGTGGAGGGCTATTGTAGGTTGCAACGGAACATTGACAGGATGCAGAGCTGGGCAAAGAAGTGGCAGATGGAATTCAAACTTGAAAAGTGTGAAGTGATTCATTTTGGAAGGTCAAATTTGAATGCAGAATACAGGATTAATGGTAGGATTCTTGGCAATGTGGAGGAACAGAGGGATCTTGGGGTCCATGTCCATAGATCCCTCAAAGTTGCTACCCAAGTTGAAAGCGTTATAAAGAAGGCACATGATGTGTTGGCGTTTCTTGGCAGGGGAATTGAGTTTCAGAGCCGTGAGGTTATGCTGCAGCTCTATAAAACCCTGGTTAGACCAAACTTGGAACATTGTGTTCAGTTCTGGTCACCTCATTATAGGAAGGATGTGGAAGCTTTAGAGAGGGTGCAGAGGAGATTTACCAGTATGCTACCTGGACTGGAGGGCAGGTCTTATGAGGAAAGGTTGAGGGAGCTAGGGCTTTTCTCATTGGAGCGAAGAAGGATGAGAGGTGACTTGATAGAGGTGTACAGGATGATGAGAGGCATAGATAGATATCCAGAGACTTTTTCCCAGGGCGGTAATGACTATTACGAGGGGGCATAATTTTAAGGTGATTGGAGGAAGTTATAGGGGAGATGTCAGAGGTGGGTTCTTTACACAGAGAGTGCTGGGTGCGTGGAATGTGCTGTCGGCGGTGGTAGTGGAGTCAGATACATTAGGGACATTTAAGCGACTCTTGGATAGACACATGGATGATAGTAAAATAAAGGGTATGCAGGGTAATTTGATCTTAGAGTGGGATAATAGGTCGGCACAACATCGTGGGCTGAAGAGCCTGTACTGTGCTGTATTGTTCTATGTTCTATGCTCTAATGTTTATCACAGTTTGCACACTTATCTACATTCTGAGTGGTTGTATGGCGGCTTCATAATTTTTAAATCCTATTCCATGATATTGCTATTTCAGGGTGATATTCAAAGGTTATGCAAAGTTGAGTTGCAAAATGACTGAAAGTTAGCAGCTCTTATTTCACGGTCAGCAATTAAACCACAATGTTCACCATTGAACTGTGAGAAAGATGACTGCAAAAAACTAACAATCCATGTTAGTAAAATGAACCACATGGTATGATTTCAAACTATAAAGATTAGAAAAAAAAATTGCTGTGCAATCACTGTACAGAATTTGCTGATCTAAGTTTGAAGCACAGGAGTTGGACAATGAACCTCAATAGAGTGACTACTTATAGGGTGATACATCATATGAAGTGCACAAATGTCAATGTCAAGTGAAAGCAAGTTTGATATCAATGTCATACATTTTCTATAACAGACAGGTTTTTCAAACAATCACTATTTAGTTAGTACTTAATGAATAGTTAAGTTAGCAAGGAGCTGAGAAGGTGATGGCAGGAATGGAACCCACATAAAATATAAAACTTGCTGCAATATAAATTGCAACATCTTTGGTTTCTTCAACATAATAAACATCCCAAGGTACTTTGTAGAAGCACATTTAAAAAAAAAGCTGAAAAAGAAAAAAAAGGCAGATATGCTTGGTCAAAGAATTAGAAAACTCTTAAAGGAGTAAAGCAAGATAGGGAGATGTAGATATTTGGGTAGGAAATTCTGGAGAGAAGGGTGGAGGCAGCTGAAGGCAGTTATTGCTTTTTATATATTTTTGCCATACTTTCTTCCTCTTCACAGTCAACGGGTTAGAATAAAATACCAAGGACATTAAACAGTTTAGTGCTATTACGTGAGTGTACTGCCTTGATAGTGTTACAAAACACTGTTTCTAACTCCGCCTACCTCCACACACACACACACAGACACACTTGCAACAATAAAGACTGGGAAATCTATTTGGTCCTCCGTCAATCACGAAGTGCTACTGGAATCAATTGGAATGCCCAAACCTTACTCTCTTGGCTGGGAAGTCCTCATTTATTACATAGCCTGCATTGGCATCAATGCTGAGATATGCCTTGTGCTCCATAATGCTTAGGTAATTATAGACGAGGCATCCATAATCACCCAAATATTAAACAAACATTGAAAACTATATTTTTAAAAACACTCATTCAATTGACTTTATTTCAGGAACTGAACTGACCTAAACGCATTTGGTTGGAAATATGGATTCTGCCAGGAAAAATTAACCTCATTATTTATTGAGAACTGTATGATCGCCGGATTATACCGGGTTCAATGAAGATTGTTAGCTTCTTTGGAAGTGGCATTAAGGAAAAAAAACTAATTTACTATTATGTTTGATTGAGACATCAGTAATATTCTTCATTTTATTGTATCATTTTGTTATATAGTGTCTCGAAGGCAATGTCCTTTTTTTTGTTAAGGTAAAACGTTCCCAATATATGTTAGAGTCCAGGCGTCTTAACATGTGTCTGGATGCAATATACTGGATTTCTTCGCGCAGTTGCCAATAGTTTTCATTACGATATCGCATTTCAATGGGTTCACTGTGGTGAATCTACTGCCAAGAGTTTATGGAAGTGTGTCCCTCTGCTCCTCTGACGGCGCTCGACTCCCAGGGTTGAGTGAGATCGTTCCCGGGCAGAGCGATTGCTCAGACCAGGGGAAACATTCCGGAAACTTTATCACAAATATCAACATTTACTTGCGCTTTACTCCAGGTACACCGTTCGAACACTACGAAAACAGAGCTGAATGGAAACAGACAATTTTTTCAGGAAACTAACAATGCCCTTCCCCCACCTGTTATTGATACTACTGGGTCCATAGTCTCACATAACCTAAGCTTACGAACTCTTCTTTGAGTACAGCAACAACGTCCTAACGCTAATAGAAATACGTTCAAGATAAGTGAAAAGCTGCGTAGTTTTCAAATTTTGCAACTTCCCTCGCTCCCTACCTTATGTCTGAATTCTCTGGCCACCTTTTTCTCCATTCTGGCAGGCTGGATGCGATGGGAACAAGGAATGACCGGCCCCTTTTCCTCTGAACCCGCTGGGTGTGGAGAGCTCGCAGTTAATGACAGCAGACAGGGCGAGATAATAAAACAAACTTTAAACATGATTTGTGTCTCTGTGAAGTATCACCGTTCGCATGTATGCTTCTGCTGTCACTGCATTGCTTTACTTTAAGTTGTTAAAATGTTCACGTTCATTTATAAAGCCGTTTGTTCAGTTATTTTTTTAAAAGAATACCCATTCTGCACAGGCAGACAAATACAATCCAAATAAATCTCATGTATATAATATCTAGCTGTATGTTTTAAGGTGTCTTAATAGTTTTTTTTCTGTGTTTATTTCAAGGTTCCCTGAGCAAAACACCATGGACCTGATTTAAAAGAAAGAACATTTGTTTAATCAATCTGTTTAGAGACGTTATGACGCACCTCCACCAACTGAGAGATTTGAACCTAGATTTTCTGGCCTGGAGCTAGGAACGCTACCACTGCCGCATAAGCCCCCCAGCATGGTTCTGGCAAATGTTACGACACATATCGGTAGGTGGAACTTGAATTTAGGCTTTTTGGCCGAGATTTAATGATAAACTTTCAAAAGTATATTCCAGTATCTTGCGCGCTGGGATTTGAACATGGTCCCCACAGTCTTAGCATGGAGCTCTGAATTATACAGCTACTGACATTACCTCCATAACACCAGCTCCTCAAAATTTTAATCAACTAGTTCAAATCTGTTATGACACACCTCTGTGGCAGCTGGGACTTGAACCTAAACCTTCAAGTCCAGAGATAGGGACACAATCACTGACCTATGAGATTTCAATCCATGGGGCTGGTATGCATGCTGCAAATGACCATTAATTAATAGATGCAGGCAAGCAACGTGAGCATTTTATTTCTTTGATTTTCTTACTCTTCCTGTAGGGAGAAGGCTTGGTTTCTGTTTTGGTACCTCCCAAAATCATTATATTTAAAATCAGAAACTTGGCATCTAATCGAATCACAAACACCAATTTATACTGCACCCCGTTGTGGCACAGCGTTGTCTTTTCGAAGTTCACCAAGATTTAGCTTCGGTTTATCAAAATGTATAATACCAACTGCAAATGAGAATTAGCATAAATACAGTGTTTTACAATGGTCTGAATTTTGCGCAGTGCTGAAGCAAAGACACACTGGAGGTGCAATGATCTCTCTGTCTTTTTTTCTCTCTCACCCTGTACTTGATTCTTGTGTTGTTTTCTGGGGAATCCTTGTATGCAGCTGCATCAAGATGTCATCAAGCTGTATGAACAGCCAAAGCATTCTCTCAATCAATGAAAAGCACTTCCATAAAATCACTGTTTTAAAAATTGACAAAAGCAAAATAAGGACTGGCATGTATGCATGGGGTGAAGCTACATACTGAAACATCACAAAAATATTTTTAAAGAATTATTTACAAAGCTTGGTTTTAAACAACTTAAGTTAATCATAAGAAAGACATTTTGTATCACGCCACAAATACAAAAATGCTTCTTCAGGGCCCGATCTATTTTTGGATTGGGAAATTCTCACCACATCCACTTGGTTCGTTAATTGCTAACTTTGCACGTGAGGTAGTGTCCACACATCAGCCTGTGGCAGAACAGTGAGTGACAAGTCACAACTTCAGCATTTCCAAAAATATGACAGATTTCTAAATCCTGAAGTTTGGGTCAGTTTGTGTGCACTCCAGAACCTTGTGTAAAAAATGGAGTGCCTTGGGAATCAGTGCTGAGGCATCAAGTATTTGCAATCTTGATCAATGCCTTGGATAACTGAACTGAATGTATGGCAGCTAAACTTGCCAAGAGATAAGATAGATAGGAAAGTACATTGTAAAGAGGACATAAGGAGTCTAAAAATGTATATAAATAGGCAATGAGAGTGAGCAAAACTTTGGTAGATGGAGTGCAATGCAGAAAAATGTGAAATTATCAAGTTTGGCAACAAGAATAATGAAGCAGCACATTAATTAAATGGAGAGATTTAAACACAGAACTCATCATGCAGAGGGATCTGGGTATCTCGGTACATACATCACAAAGTTATATGCAAGTACAGCATGTGATCAGGAAGACATACGTAACAGAGTCATAGAGGTCTACAGCACAGAAAAAGGCCCTTCAACTAATTGAGTTTGAAACAGTCAAAAACTACTTCCTAACTACTATAATCCCATTTTCCAGCACTGGGCACATATCCATGTTAACCTTGACATCACACACATCTAAATATTTCTTAAAAGTCATGAGAGTTTCTATCTCTATCATCCTGACAGGCAATGTTGTTATTTGTCGAAGGGTAATGGAATATAAAAGTAGGAACATTTTTCTAGTTGTACAGACCATTGGTGAGATCTCATCTGCAATACTATGTAGATTTGGACTCTTTATTTAAGAAAAGACATAATTTCATTAGAAGAAATTCAGAGAAAGTCTGCTCATCTGATTCCTTGGATGCTGGAGAGCTCAGGTGGTTTTGGGGTGAGGGTGGAAGAAAGATGAAGAGGAAAAGTTGGACACGTATCCATTGAATTTAGAAGAGTGAGAAGCAATCTAATTGAAATATATAAAGTTCTTGGGGATACTCAAGGCACAATTACCATTGTGGGAGCATTTAGAATTAGGGGACAGAATTTAAAAATAAAATTATCTCCATTTAAGATGGAGATGGAGATTTTGTTTTGTCTAGACAGCAGGGTTATTAAGTATGTGTAAAATTGAGTTGGATAGGTTCCTTACAGAATACTGAGAGGCCTAGGTGGAGTGGAAATGGTGAAGATGCTTCCACCAGTCGGAGAGACTAGAACCCAAGGGCACAGCCTCAGTAAAGAGATGACCCTTTAGAACTGAGATGAGGAGGAATTTCTTCAGCCAAACGGTGGTTAATCTATGGAACACATTGCTGTGGAAGGCTGTGGAGGCCATGTCATTGCATGTACTTAAGGCAGAGATAGATATGTTCTTGATTAGTAAGGGGGTCAAGGGTTATGGTGAGAAGACAATGGAATGGAATTGGGAAACATATCAGCCATGATTGAATGGTGGAGAAGACTCGATGGGCTGAATGGCCTAATTCTGCGACTATATCTTATGGTATCAATTAACAAGGAAGTGAAAAGATGTCATGGGTAGACAGGAAGGTGAAGTTAAGGTCAAATCAGATCAGCCGTGATCCTATTGAATGGAGTGTTTTGTAGCAGCTGATGTTAGAACCAGACTAGTCAGATCTCACATTGAAACCTGGTTTGATAGACACTACCCTTTCTCTAAACTGCAGAGGTCAGTTACATTCAGAAGAGTCTGCAAGTGCATTTTTATCACAAAGAATTAAACATTTATTAGACAGGTAAAAATATGAACTACATTAAATGAGATGAAAAGGTTGGAAAGTTTCATTACAAACACCAGAAAAGTAATGACACTCACTATTCTTTTTAGCGCAGCAATATTTTTACAAATGTCAAATCCCATCAAAGGTTTACGACTATCTCCACTCTAAACCTTCTTGCTCAGGCTGGCACAGCTGCAGCCTGTTTCCTTCTGGCAAACTCCTGCACATTCATTTAGTGTTTTTCTTTGGCTGGGATCTTCCTGGAGCAACTAAAACGTAGTGCAAACCGAACTCACTATTACTTTAACTTCAGAGTCAAAACGTGAATTCCCTGAACTCATTTTTCAGCAGTACTGAAGATTTCTTACCGAAACTCTCCTGTTTTCACTCTCTGGTACACCCACACACTGATTTATGTTGTGATTTTCTGTTTGTGCCCCCTCCCAGACACCAGTTACTACATAAGAGCACAATCTTTTCTACCTCTTTTTGTTATTGCAATAAACCGCCAAGCTTCATCCCTTCAGTCATGGTGATAAAACTTTACTAAACATCTGTGTATACAGGTAGATTTCCTGACCTCCTGGTACCCAAGTCTGCAAAAGCAACTCTATAATGAACCTAGGGCTAAGCAATAATTGCTGGCCGAGCCAGCAATGCTCACATCTTGTGAATGAATGAAAAAAAAGTACCACCGAAAAGACCCATAACTGGGTTTACTACCATGACCTGGGAACTGTCTCAAAGTATTTTAAGGAATTAATGCAGCTTTACATTTTATTTGTTTGTTTTCCCATCATTTTTTGTGAAGTTTTTTCCTGCTCAATGGAATTATTGCCTAAGAACTAGTTCTTTATAAAATATAGAAGCCATTTCTGCACTCAAATTTAAATTGTTTTGATGAAAACAACTATAGTATAAAATTATTTACTTTCTCTACATAATTTCATTTTTGTATGAGTGGAAAAATGCATTATTACATTTGATGGTAAAACCATATAAATTTTATATGCCAATATCCTAACCATATATTATGGACTGCACATCACCACCTAGTGGAAACAAAGTTCATAAAGCAACAATCTGAAGAAGTAGTTACCTGAAATCTTTGTGATAGAGACATGCAATAGACTGCATTTTACTACAGACTTGAAATAAACAATATGTAACAGACAATTCACTAAAATACTCTTAGGGCTTCCAGCAAAATATACTGGATAATTTTAACCCTGCCATTCTGGCAAAAACTGGGTGTGAAAGCAGTTAATGTTGTTAAGCTTATTGTTAGAGTGACTGCTTGAAATTTTAATTTGTTTAGATTCTTTTAATTGTAAGAAAATTGGGTTCAATAATGATGTTGGATTTTTATTGCAACTTTAAATCAATAGCCTGTACAGTAGCAAGAGTGAGTTTAGTAGAGAAAAGATTCAGACCAAAACATTCCAAAAAGGTGTATTTTATAATGGTCCAGAAACTTCAAAGGTCAGATCATTTTTTTTTATTTATTCATTTGTGGGATGTGGGGATCACTGGCTGGCCAGCATTTATTTCCCTTCCCGAATTCCCCTTGAGAAGGTGGTGGTGAGCTGCCTCTTGAACTGCTACAGTCCACCTGCTGTGGGTTAACCTACAATTCCATGAGGGAGGAAATTCCAGGATTTTGATTCAGCAACAGATAAGGAGCGGTGATATATTTTCAAGTGAGGATAATGAGTGGTTTGGAGGAGAACTTGCAGGTGGTAGTGTTCCCATGTGTCTGCTGCCATTGTCCTTCTAGATGGAAGTGTTTGTGGGTTTGGAGGCTGCTGTTTGAAGATCGTTGGTGAATTTACGCAGTGCACTTTGTAGAGAGTGTTGCTGCTACTGAGTGTTGGTGGTAGAGGGAATGGATGATGTGGATGTAGCGCCAATCAAGTGGGCTGCTTTGTCCTGGACAGTGTCAAGCTTCTTGAGTTTTGTTGGGGCTGCACTCAGCCATATCAATGGGGACTAATCCATCCGCTTCTGACTTGTGCCTCATAGATGGTGGACAGGCTTTGGGGAGTCAGGAGATGAGTTACTCACCGCAGTATTCCTAGCCTCTGACCTGCTCTTATAGCCACTGTGTTTATGTGGTGAGTCCAGTTGACTTTCTGGTCGATGATAATCCTGAGGATGTTGAAAGA